CTGAATTATTTTAAAGGGACATGGAAAATCATTTATACGTAAGGAAATTGTTTTTTGAAAGGAAATTATAATTGAAACACCATTTCTTTAACAAATTAATGAAACATCATCGCATAATTACTCTTTTTACGCAATAATTAACATAACCATCGGGGAATAAATATCTCTTTTTCAGAGGATATCTTTGAGAAAACAACGTTTCCGATAGATGACAATTTTTCCATCACGAGGAGAACATAGAAAAACTAAGGTCGATGCTGATGTCGTCGTCCTCAAATATAATATGCCTCCACATCACAAAGCGATCGAGCTGCTAGCTAGAGAACGAAGTGTTTTGTCCTACACTAGTGTTCCCTTTTTTTTGGGGGGTTCAATTGTGTCAGCGTTTCCTATCGTATCTTTTTTGGTTCATGAATCTATTTCTCATACTCATGTTTCTTCCTTTGAAAGTAATTTGCTCCCTAGCAAAAGAACCGAATTGCCGGCAACCATAGAGACACCCATGCAGATGATGTACCCTGTAACGCAATACATACCATTGACAAGTGTATAAATGCCGCATTAGATATAGTTTTTTTAAAAGGTATACATGGATAATTATAAAACTGAGTGACAGTTGTTGATATATAACATATAAAGTTTCATTTTTTCTATATATAGTTTGGCAGAATCTGTTTTCAACACTATCCCGAGGAGATATGCTATCACTTACCCATACTAATTTTAGTGGATTTTATCTGCATGAATTTCATAACCTTCAGCGTTTTCCACTGCTGTTTTAAGTTTTTTGTCTACATATTATTGGCAAACTAGAAATGGGAAATTAATTAAATTCGTCAATTTATATATACTGACCGATGTGTTTGAATGCAGGTCCCAAACTGATTAAACATTGGACCCCATTGCCCATTCCATGTGAAATTCCTGGGAAACCATATGCAAGGAGCTTGATCTTGCCTGATGATCTCCTGAAGAATTGGATACAGTCATTTTGATTTCAACTAAGGCTGGCGTGCTATCCCACTTGATCATCACACGATCACTTACAATTAATATGCACGTCACTCTTAGATACGACTGCGTGGATCTGGAGCTCAACAAAAAGTAAATAGCTGCGTCATTTTCTTTGTTGTCATTCTTCTCGGATTGAAGTTTTAGGGCCTATCTTCATTTGTTGTTATTCATGTGAGATCATCTTTTTGGCATTCTCGATAAATATATTGGGTGTAACTACAATAGCAATTCGAGATCACCCCAAAGAATGAAAAAAGGAATTCTCGTGAGCAACACAATGAGACAATCATGTTATTTGTACTCTGTAATTTGTGTTTTGGAAATTAGGAATATTATCTGCTGGATTGAGTGAGTTCTTCCGAATACTTCATGCATTATAGTATTATTCCTCTGTTTTATAATTTGTGAATCTATTTAGTTCTATTTCGATCTATATATGCGAGCCTCTGTTTTCCATTACCTTAACCTTGCGCAAAACTGTGGCTATCCCCTCACCTTATCACGTAGTTAAATATTATTTTGAACATGTCATCTAGTAAACTTAATTTGATTTTGTGATCGTCACCACTAGCTCGGGATGGATATGGTTCGTATGGTCACTCACACTGCTTGATACAAATGTTGCATATGTTTTCGATAAATAAAACTTAATATAAATGCTAATTTTGCGTTGGGAAAACATAAATGTTTAATTTTTTAGAATTAAGTGATGATCTTCGTCGGAATGAATGATATTGTTATTGGCGAGAGTTTTGAGGACGAGTGATACTGTCACTAATGCAGCATATTCGTCATTACTATTGGCACAAAGAATCTCAAATATTAATGAAACTTTTTTAGTTTGCACAAATCAGTCAACAGCTAATAATATGGGACAACTCAAAATAGTTTAAAAAACCATATATAAATTCTTGTGATGAGACAACTATAAATTCGGGCCATGGTTGATAAAAAAAAAATATTGTGTATAAGCATTATGCTCACACCTATCTTATCAAGCGTGATAATATCTATAAAAAACATTTGAAAAAAAATATCCGTACGGAATATAACATCTGTCAAAAAAAATTGGCATTTTAATCTTCAGATGTACCCAAAAAAACATCTATAAAAATTCCTCTAACGTCATCCAAAGCATTTTGGAGTACGAAACAAAAAATTTCATGTTGACACGATGATAAACCTACGTGACAATTCGGTATATCTACATCCCCCACAAAAAAACTCGGTATATCTACATAAATACTTTAAAAACTTAAATCTCCTGTCACACTATGTATACATACATATATATAAATTTTACGACTAAAATAATATAATCACCGATACCATTAATCTCTGTCAAATTTATAGTTTCACAAAGGCGAATCACACTGTAAAACTAGCAGAACTGGTGGAGGAATAACAAAAATTAATGATGGGCATCACTTTTAAGCTAAATTATTTTTCGACCGGAAATTGCTGAAATTCACTACTATTTTGTGCTAATTGATAGTTCAACTGAAAAACAACGTTGATCCAATAACCAAAGTGATCAAGTAAAGTGAACTCTTCGCAACCAATTAGTTAAATAGATTTGCTACAGTCTGAAAAAAAAAAAAGACCATGTCTAAATGAATACATATTGGCCAGGAGATCCATGTACCGTTTTCATTTTGCAAAAACTAGCTGCCCCATTTTTAAGAAGAAATGTAGTTGAATTAATTTCTCGGTTCATCTAGATAAATTTTTTTGTTCCTTTTTGATCAATTACTAGAATATAAATGGTCCATGGCTACCTTTTTGGGGATTAATCATTCCCAACTGCACACGTTTACACATTCATTAAAGAATTTAGAGTAACAGAAATGTATGTTAAATTACTCATTTTTAGGTGTTGATATTGCTATACGTCTCCATAACCCCAAAATGAATGGCTAGATTCCAGAAAATATCACGATGGCATTAATGACTACCACCGGCTATAAGTTTGAGTCAAAAATTTAAATTTAAAGAAAGAAAGGAAAAAGAATGACACCAACAGCGATACAAACGAAAAGAAGGAAAAATAAAAAAAGAAAAGTGGAAAGCCAAAAGCACCCCACACCCTAACTCACACCAAACAACAAGGTATTAGGTAGTAGGTACGATGTACGAGTAACAGAAACGGATACGGATCTCCTTAAGCCATATGAATATCTCCCTCTCATTAAATACACACACACACACACCCTGCTCGCCCGGTCTCTGTAATCTATACCACTCCCCCTAACCGAATCTTAATTAGGGAGGCCTTCGGTTAATTTAGTTGATTAATTTAAGGAAGGCTGACTCCCTCCCAGGAAGCTGAAGAGAAAGTCCCCCAGCCAGCGAGCATAGGACCGTGTGCAATTAGGATAATACTAGTAGTACTAGGGAGTAACAAGTTACCGGTTCCGTACAGGTTAAGGTTCGTATGAAACTGCTGTAGGGGGTACCGCCAGCTGTCCAGCGGGATCATGGGGATAGGCAGTTAAGGAGAAAGGGGGATGGTGGTGGTGGTGGTGGCAGGTTTACAGGCTGGCTATTTTTTTTTTTGCAGTACAGAATTATTCGCGCTCTGATTCGGCGACCAGTCTTGTCGTTTTGTGCCAGCTCAGCGTTTCCGTGCGGCCGTTCTTTCTTTAAGTAATAAATAAATAAAAGAAATACATGTCATAAATATAAAGAGAGAGAGGGGAAAAATAGGGGAAAATCCCAACACACGAAGAAAATGCTGTACAGGCTGGCTGTCTCCAGTCAAACTCAGCCCTTACCCAACCGTTACCATCTTTATCTTTGTTGTTTCTAGGTAGGACTGTAGTAGTATTTGATAATTTTGAAACCTTTTTTTTTTTGAATAATAATGGAAAAAGAAATTCATCGTGATATAATTATGGCTATCAGGCTTCTGTTTGTCTCTATAACTTCCAAAACAGCAAGGAACAATTATGGCAAATTTTATCTTCCTCGATACAGTTTGCAACCATTCCCTTACGTCCCCCACCCCTCTTAGAATGCGCGTGCCCCTCACTCTCCCCACTCACTCCTCTAATCCTTCTTACTTTCGTTCTGTACTTTAAACGAGCTTAATTCGGCTTTTAGACCTCTCGATAGGATATTATTACCTCCGCGCCACACGCCAGGTCTGCTTTTAGTCCATTTCTAGTCAAATTATTAATATTTCTCTCATGTTCTTCCGATTCTGCTCATCTGTCACCAGTAAATAGATTGACCCCCATCTTTTTCTTTTTTTTTTTTTATGTTGATCTGAAACTATAGGACGCTCCAAGCAACATAATTACAAATTCAAAATTACACCACAAAATTAGTGAACCAATCGGTGTTCAGAAGCAAAGAAAAGAAAAGAAAAAACAAAGGGGACTGTATGTGACCCGCTCCCTCTTAAGAAAGAAAGAAAGAAAGCAATATCGAAAATATTAGGAGGACCGGTACACCCCAAATGTGTGCGGGTACTTGCTTGCTGCTGCAACCCATCACACTTATAAGGGAGAGGTGAAGCAGACGCTCCTGGGGGTCGAGAGTGGGGTAGTAAAAGTCCAGAGAAAAGAAAAGGCAAGCGAGATTTGAAGAGGAGTAGAGAGAGTGACTTATGTAAAATCAGTGCTACTAGGAAGTGACGCGTGTCCGTTTGCCAGCTGTATCCCAAGTCCAACCGCTTGCCTCGAACCATCGGTGCCCATAACTCCCTTCCGGCTCTCTCTCCCACCTCAACCACCCACCGGCTCCACCGGTCACCTATCCCCTTCCCTTATATATCCCCCCCACTTGTCTTATAAATCCCCTTCAAGGCACCCAACCCCCCTCCACCATCTCTTCTCATTAGTAGGTCTTTCGACCCCCACCCCCAATAAAACACACACACACTTAACAAAAAAAAAAAAAAACAGGCCACCACCTTCACCAGATCAAAACGCCGGAACCAGGCGCCGTTTTTCGTTTGTTTTTGTAAAAAAGAGTCTATATTTATGACGGTAGTGGTAAATAGAAAAGAGATGATGGATCGGATCAAAGGTCCATGGAGCCCCGAGGAAGACGAGGCGTTACAGAACCTGGTCCAGAAGCACGGCCCCAGGAACTGGTCTCTGATCAGCAAATCCATCCCCGGCCGCTCCGGCAAGTCCTGCCGCCTGCGGTGGTGCAACCAGCTCTCCCCCCAGGTGGAGCACCGCGCCTTCACCCCGGAGGAGGACGAGACCATCATCCGCGCCCACGCCCGCTTCGGCAACAAGTGGGCCACCATCGCCCGCCTCCTCAACGGCCGCACCGACAACGCCATCAAGAACCACTGGAACTCCACCCTCAAGAGGAAATGCTCCTCCCCCTCCTCCGCCGGGGCGCCCCCCGACGAAGCCAGTTTCGGCTACGACGGGGATTTCGGGGAGGCGGAGAGGCCGCCGCTAAAGAGGTCGGTGAGTGCGGGCTCGGGTGTGCCGGTCTCCACCGGGCTTTACATGAGCCCCGGCAGCCCCTCCGGATCTGACGTCAGCGATTCCAGTGCCCCCGGCGGATTGTTCAGGCCGGTTCCGTGGTCAGGTGGAGTGAATGTAATAGCGCCGTCGCTGCCACCACCGCAGCCACACCCACACCCGGTGGAAACAACATCGTCTTCGGACAACAATAACAACAGCAACAGCAAGTCTCATAATAAAGAGCCACAGACCTCACTGAGTTTGTCGCTACCCGGTGTTGACTTAACCGAGGTGTCCACCCGAGTTGTCCCCGAGTCAACTCGATACCAGAATCGCAGTCAAACTCAGGCGGTGAGGAATGCGATACACCTGTTGCCTGTAGCTGTTCCAGCAACTCCTTCGGCTCCGGCTCCCGCTCCTGCGCCAGCTCCGGCGGCGGGGACGGGGATTGTGGGGTTCAGCTCGGAGTTTATGGCGGTGTTGCAGGAGATGATAAGGAGGGAGGTGAGGAATTACATGATGGAGCAGGGAGGAGGCAGAGCGGGCGGTAGGGTCAGTGGGGGGATGTGTTTTCAAGGTGAGGGCTTTAGGAATGTTGGGGTGGTTAATCGGATTGGGGTTGGTAAGATTAATGAGTAGTAACTGTAATGGGTTGGTTTTTTTTTTTACTACCTTGTTTTTTAGAGAGAGTCGGTGCAAATGGACAGAGTAGAAGGAACACAAGAGGAAAACTTGGCCGCTGTTTTTATCTTATGTTGGTGTAGGGAATAATTTTGGTTCATTGTACAGGGAGAGAGGACAGAAAAGACTGAGCTAGCGAGAGAGAAAGGTGAAATGGGTAAAAACTGGTGGGGGGGGGTGTGTGAAAATAGGAAATGGTGTGGAGAATGTTGTGCACAGGGGAAGGCAGGCTGTGACTTCTTTTTTACCTGTTTCTAGACCTGATCTGTTCTTGCCAGGGAAGAACAAACGAAATTTGCAACAACAAAAAACTATGACAAGCCAAAAAAATGGAAAAAAAAAAAAAAGCGATAACAAGTTCTTTCAAAATCTAATCTTGAGTTGTCGTTTTATACAATTCTGTGGATGATTTTGCGTTTTTCTTTTGGAGTTTTTGGTTTTATATGGAAATGGTTCCGAGGAAAACATTAGATACGAAGATATGTGATATATGCGTGAATCTGGGAACTGAAAGCCAGCCAAAATGGTTACTGACAAGCAAATGCGTCAATGTTTGTTTTCACTTTGGTCGCTAAAAGACGAAGATGGAAATAATTAAACAGCGAATGCTTTCTTGAACTATTTAACTAAATACAGCCGCAAGCTGTTAGACAACAAGATATGTTTGTTCTATGGTCTTAACTTTTCCACCTCACTTTTAAGGGACAAGCTGTCCTCTTGTTCTTTGGAGAAAAAATGGCAGCAAGGAGAATGCTTTTATCCCGTTTACGAGCAACCACTTATTACATTGTTTATTTTTCCTTCTGCACCGATTTTAGCTATGAACATCAACCACATTTTGACTGATTTGTTGGACATGACCGAGTAATGGACGCTGTTCAACTATGTCATCTCATATTACCACAAAATCAACGATATTGTGATCTCATTTTTCTATTGTTGACCTAGCTATCCCCTGGAATTCATCATGAAATACGTTTTCAGAATAGACCTTATCCTGACAATATGCAAAAAAGGAAATATTGTAAGCTGGGGCAAGCTACAAAAATATCTGTTGTGTTCAGGACCTTGTTATGTGTACTACTTTTTTAGAGAACTTGTTATGTGTACTTAAGTCAAATAATTCAAGCTTAACGTGGCAATTAAATGGCAGAATAGCGTCTTATTTTCTACTCTTTTTGGTTCAGATAACAAACAAGGGATACTATGGTCTATAGGTAAAGAATAAATAGCTTTTCCCAAGCAAAAGCTCACTTCAGTTACGTAAACTGTGGCCTCAATCCACGCTTTACAACCTATGGAATCCAAAACTAGTATAATTCGGATGAAAAAAATAAATGCCATATTCCATGACAGTGTTACTGATATTTTTTTTGTACATTATCACCTAGACTTCTAGAGATTGCTGTGCATAGATCCACTAAGGAAGATACGGCATACTGATTCCTAAGCCAGAAAACTAAAATGGCGAGTTAAAAGAATGAACATTATGACGGTGCCGTCTGCAATGTACTTGACCCATTGTCATCTGCCTTTGATAACCTTATCCGGGATTTAAATTCTTGGGCATTTTGCAACAAGTCTTCCCCCCAGGACCACATGGGGTCATTTAGAGCGCGTATAGAATTGAGACAAACAAGAAGAGTACCACCTTCATGTAAAAGAACCTGAACATTCACGATATGCATTGTGAGAAATGAAAGACAAAGCAATCAGCAAGAAGCAGTAAACAAAAGCAAACCAACAAACGGTGTAGACAATGGGGAGAGCATTCTGTAAGAACCAAAATACTAAAATAAGAAGGCGTAAAGTCGGTTCAAGTCTTCTTCCTTGCCAAATAACGTCATTTTAGCAGCTTTGAAAAATAGTCTGATTGCATAAAAGGAATTTTATCAATTCTGAAAGAGATTGCACCATGCAAAATTTCCCTCTTGTACCTTCCTGAATAACTAAGTCCTCATAGGATTTCCTCAAGTATCCACGAGAAGGAAAGATGAGATAACTTGTCCACTAAATAATTTACTTTCATGAAGTCTAAGGAAGGAGCAGTGGCACTTTTCTTATCAATAATTTACGAAGCACAAAATTTGGCTGCTCCCTTATTCTCTCTCTCTCTCTCTCTTACATTGTTCTTATTTTGATCTATTCCAAGTCATATTGTTCAAGAGAACTCCCAAACCTTTAAACTATGAAATTCACATCACAAAAAGACATGATTCTACCCAGACAAGAAAATAGATAATTACTGTTTTTATGATTCCATGATTATGCCAAAAATAATAAATACTGCAAGAGGTGAATGCTGGGAAGTAAAAGAGATCACGAAAGTTCATACCGTCAACCACAGAGGGAGAAAACCTAAAACAGAGGAAAGAGAAGCCAGAATTATGCAAGTCAAGGCAAGGGCCACATTTTGTTTGACCTGCATCACATTTGAGTAAATAAGCAAGATATATGTAGAGAGAGAGTAAAATGATAAGAGGAAAAAAATATTTTGTATTGTTAAGTACCAGAGAGGTTGTTTGGCGAGACTTGGCAATGCAGAATGGAACACCAGATATAGTTTCCCGTAGCAATAGGACATCAGCAACAGCAACAGCAGTCGCACTAGCACGTTGAGCAAGTACTATACCTACTGTTGCAGCAGCAAGAGCTGGTGCATCATTAATACCTTCACCAACCATGGCAAGACCTCCCCCTGTGATAACATCCTAAATTTGTTTAACTGATAAAAGACTGTAGCCAATGCAAAGAAAATTCCATGAGGATAATAGCTTAAGTACTTCACCACTTCATATCAGTTCTAAAAGAAACAAAATGACACCAAACATACAACTAAAACTAAACTGGGGAAACGTATAGCAGCAAAATGATCCAAAAGAATGCTTGAAGATCTCACCCATATCCCTTGAGATACGCTTCACATGATTAAGCTTGTCCTCAGGCTTCAGGCAACAGTAAACTTCAGTGATGCCCACAGCTTTAGCAACTCTCCATGCGCTTGATTCATGGTCACCAGTTAACATCATTACACGCATCTTTGCTCGATCTTTTAGTTCTGATAGGACATCTGAAACACTAGGTCGTGGTCTATCCTCGAGGTGAATCAGTGTTACCTACAGAGTGATACAGGGTGACAGTAGGAACCATTCCAACGTTTTTGCAGAATATAGTTGAGGACACGGGCATGGTAGAAATCAGATTAGATAACAAAAGAACAGCTTGCAAATTCAGCATACAACATGATGAAGACCCATATGTCACTCCAAACAAATTTCTTTTGGTCTTCAATTTTTTAAGTTACTACTTCCTAGTTTCCACAGAAAGGTGCACATCACTTTCCATAATTTTTGCAGCCTGATTAAAGTAGCTAAATCAAAAAAATGGACCAGGCCTCACCTTCTCATCAACAGAAAGAGCAGCATGAACCAAGTCACTTCCATAAGAAGATGAATGAACTGCTTCCTTTATCTTTCTTGATTTGTCTTCAGACTTGCAGAGTGAAGTAATAAAATCAACAGAACCAAGAGATGCCTTCACCAATTTACTGCCTCCGGTTCCTGACTATAAGAAAATAGAAACCCTTGTGACTTCATTTGGCATCAACCAACAGAACAGACCATAGAAGCCTTAACAGCAGAAGACACAAACACATGAAAAACTATGACAATCATAACATTTATAAAAGCATCATAAGGGTAAATTGTAAACCAAAGAGGCAGCAACAGCAGTTGTTTTGCAGAAAAAAACGTACCTGGATATTATTCAGAGTAGCAGTAAGGCCTCTACCTGGAAAATATTCAAAACTTTCAACAGAAACAGAAGGTAGATCTTTCCCCGAACTATGATCCACAACAGCCCTGCAACAAGCAGAAGCGTATCAGATCTTGGAGGCATTTAATGAAACAGATAAGAACAGGAAACTTAAACCCAAGCATGCAGTTGGTGGGATAGTCCAGCAGGTCTAGCCCCAGAAAAACTATTTTTTCTGGTCAGTTGTATTACATATGATCCTCAAGCAAATAGCAGAATACCTTAGAAACAGAAAGAGACTTGTATTCATACATGAACTATCTAACATGTAATGTTAGAGGTGTATCCCGCCCTGAATTACACAAATTAATGGCATAAAGGACAAGGTAGAGACAGAATCAGTAAGTTAATAGTAGGACCACCACAGAACAAGTTGGAGGTGCAGTAGTTGTGAACTTGAGTTCCAGAACATGACTAGAAACAAAACAAATTCGCCTAAAACAAGGTGCAAAACTCTTCTCGACTAGCAAATGTCAGAAATCACTGAAAAGTAGATCATCGAACCAATGGTCAGGAAGACACAACTTTTAAATAAATTTTTGCATCATGGGGTGTGTTTTGCCAAGCAGTTCTCTTTGTCAAAATTACCTTCCGATGGGGTGTGTAGTACCCTTTTCCATGGCAGCTGCTACGGCAAGTGCTTCCATTTCACAGTTAGGAATGCAACACGACGTAAGATTTGTCTTATTATTTCCAATCAAATGTCCATAAATTGGTTCTATTGCTTTGAACATTAGACCCCCAGTTGTCAATGTTCCAGTTTTATCAAAAGCTACCGTATGACAGGATGCTAGAGCATCCAGTACATGTCCTCCTTTAAGCAGTATTCCCTGCAAAGGGAAAACACAATTCAGTTAACTGTTGATGAAACAAAACGATATTACATAATGGAACAAAAGTAAGCTCCATTTTAAAAAAGTGATCCAAGCCATCCCTATGCCATGCAAAACTTTCAATATTTCAAGCACTGAACTATGATTGATGAACTTCTTCAATAATAAATGTAATTATGTCTCAGTTGTTTCAAATATCACGGCGGTATAGCCTGGTACAATTGAATATTTATCGACTAACAACTGAAGTCATGTGACATCGTGGCGCTGCTAGAGTCAGAGACACGGTCTTGTAGAAACAAGGCAAAGGAACAAAGACACGATACTGAATGGGATCTGCATGGACATCCAGTCCAAAAGGAAAGTTTCGTGCCTTGCAGTGGCGAATTCCAGGGGGTGGGGCCTGGGGAGGCCTAACTTAGATGTTAAAAGAGACACTTTGTTTTTCTGGATTAACATCTGCAATGACACCCTTTTCCAGTCCATCTGCTCCTCCCACCCCCAGACAAAATGCCAATGGTCACATAGACTTGAGTGTAGCATATCAAAAAAGATTCTCTGATAGAATCCAGATATGAAAATAAAGCACTTCATCTTGTATCTAACTTGTGAAGCCAACTTTTGTAAATTCTCTTTAAAAAGAGTGAAATTCAAATTATCTGATAGATACCTTTCTAGCACAGGAACTAATAGCAGTGGCATAAGCCAATGGAGCCACAGCCAAGGCACATGGTGATGCTGCCACCATCAGCCCCAGTGCTCTGTAGACAGATCCTCTGCAAGCTATACAATTAATAAAGCATCAAATGAGGTGGAAAGTTTTAGAAAAGCCCAAACATTAAATTAGCAAATCAATACTTTAACTATTGGTAGACAAAGGGTGGGCATACAAGATAAGGAAGAAGAAAAATGACAGGACATACTGAGAAGTATCAATCTTATTCAAGGAACAGGAACTGGTAGTTGTTTTCTACTTGTTACAACTGCTGCTTTTCTTAGGCCTCACGTATTGTGCAAACATACAAAGAAAATTGGATTTGATAAGAGGAAGGCAAAAGCTCACGTGTTCAACCAAATTTTAGTCATTAAAAATTGGATATATGATGCATTTCAACTAAACTTTTTGTCATGCATCCTATAAGGGCATGTGAGAGCCGTCGCTGTAGCACAAGTCTTTTTCTTTCAGAAAACTACGGAAAAACGTTAACATTAAAGTTAAAGTTTGTACTCCTAAGTTCCAAAGTAATTTGGAGAAAATTCCATTTATTAGAGAAAACCTAAGAGATTTCCTTGTCAAGGAAATCTTATCACTCGTCTCCATTAAATTCATTCACCTAACTTCAACATAAGCCCACACAATAAATAGCTGTTTTTGCATAGCAAGCACTGAAGCTTTAAGAAAAATAACGCCATAAGCTAATTGAGCCTCTTATATCAAAAAAAAAAAGAAGCTAATGGAGCCTCAAGGGAGTTTTGACGTGATGAAGCAAGAACAACTTCTCAGGCACATGCAATCAGCAAAATTAAGGATGACTTCCCGACAGCCAGCTGGACTATAACTAGATGTTTCTAGAAGTTACCTGGTGTGCTCATGAATGGCCACTTGAAAAGAAGTGGTCCAAGGAGGGCGATAGCAACAGACAATCCAACAACCACTTTGCTGTAACGCTCACCAAATTCATCAAGCCACCTTTGAAGCTTTGGTTTGTTTAGCTGTGCTTCTTCAGTTAGTTGGACAATCCTACTCAACGTTGACTCTTTCCACGTCTTTGTGGCCTGAATCAAATTTATAAAGAAATGTAAGAAAGTAGCATAACAGGAAATGAAAATTATCATTTACAGTAGCAAAAAATTTAATTTAGGGGGAAATTTTTGCCCAATTTCAAGACATCTCTCAAGAATTACATAGGAAGTAAGAAACCATGACCACAACGGTACTGACACCAAATCACCTACATAATTTGGTTCTAAGGAAATCACACACCTTCACAATCATTCTACCATCCACATTCCTTGCTCCACCAGGAATCCTGTCTCCAACTTTTGCTTCTATTGGCTTGATTTCTCCAGTTAAGTGCTCAATAGTAATTGTCGCACCACCTTGAAAAACTTCACAATCTACAGGCACCGCCTGGACATAATAATGAACTTCAATCAATACACAAGCTATTTCAGCATCTGAAATTTTATAATATAATACTTCAACCAATTAATATATCACAAAGGGTCATGTAACATCTAAATCAAATGGCCTGTGGAGACATAATCAGTATTTGTTTACTTCAATTCATGCTGGGCGGGTGGTCAGTAGATCAGATAAAAGTATGCTAGCTGATACTCAATAAAATAGCTTACTTGATGACTTTCATTCAGAACTAAACAAGCCGAAAAGTGAATGACATCAAAGTAAAGCATAAACAACTCTCAATTTTGTGGGATTGTGCAGTCTCTTGTCCTGTTTTAGTAAGTCCTAATCATTCAAAACTTGGAACAGCCAAACCAAGTGAGCTGTCTGGTCAGTGTTAAAAGTCTGGTCGACTGGCAAACTTTAGTCGTACAGATCTAGTCCGTGAGACTCGGCAAGTAGCACGCACAATCTGAAGACACTGGGGTTGCAAAACCCTGGACAAAAGCAGACCGAACGGATGCTCTGCCTCTTCAAATTTATGAAGCAGTAGCACCGCCATGAACAAAATTTGAATTACTACCAATAAGTAGCATAATTACAGACCTCACCAGTTCCCACCAAAATATAGGATCCCACTTCAACGTTGTGGACGGGAATGCTTGTGTATGACAAATCAGAGAGGTCAGGAAACTCCTCAGCATTCACATCGAGCACCAGCGCAGATTCCGGGTGATTTTCCTTCAATTCCTTAACATCTACCACTGATCGGCTAGTGAAAAACTCTTCAGCTGCCAAAATATCCCCAACCACAAGCGTGAGAACCATTTCGCACAAATCGTATTACAATTTAAAAACAATAAGAAAGGGAAAGCATTTACAACAGAGAAACACACCAATATGAGCCAAATTGAACATGGCAAGAAGCAAGCCTCCTTCCAAGGCATTGCCCATAAAAACGGAAGCAAATGCTGCCATAGCCATCAACACGTGCATATTCACCTTCCCTCCGGCAATGTCGGTTAGGGCATCCAGCGAAGCAGAAACCTGAGATAAAAGAATCTCATTGTCATGTATATAAAATAAAATCAATAAAGAGAATCTGGAGAGTTTTTTTTTTTTGATTTATTTATTTGGGGAGGAAGAACGTGTACGGACCCCGACGAGAGGGAAGGCTACGAGCATGAAGGCGTTCTGGAGAGGTTTAACGATAGGCTTGGGAACGAGGTAGGGGCAGGCGGCGGCGGCTACGAAGAGCGCGGCGGAGCAGCAGCAGAGCTGCAAGTGCTCTCTCAATATGTTGGCTAGCTTTACCCATCCTGTCGCTCTCGCGAATTTTATCAGAGCTCCCTGGAAACCGGTTAGTGACGCACTGTCTCCCTCGTGGTGGTGGTGATGATGGTGGTGGTGGTGGTTGTGGTGTTCCTCGTGTCCGTGGTGGTGGTGGTCGTGATCGTGAACGAAGTGGTTGTTGTGGTGGTGAGAGGAGGATTTTGTGAGGAAGCGGAGAGAGTGGCGGTGGAGAGCGGGAGGAGAATAGAGGTGGAAATGAGGAGGGAAGTGTCTGAGGGCGGGGATGGGGAGTCGAGGAGGCCGTGGTGTGGAGCGATTCGGGGAGGGGAACTCGGTCACGACGCCGATTGACGGGGCGGAGCCGTGACGGAGAGTGGATTCCATCGGAATATTGAAGAATATTTGGGCGGGATTTCAGGTTATGGAAAGCGGAGGAATATTGAACGGAGAGAGCCGCCGGAGCCGGTCTGGTTTAATTAATATAGTAGTAGTACTACTACTACTAAGAGAGTGGAGGAGGAGTCGTGAGCAGGGAGACTTGGTGGGTAGGTGGTGTGGTGTGGTTATATGATCCACACCATGTGCTCATCAATCGATCCATCCATGCTTCCTTCCTTTTTGGTCATCAAAATCGTAGTACTAGTACTACCAAAAACTTTATGCCATGTTTGTTTTCCTCAACACAAGTAAAACTGCAGGGCCATTTGTTGCCATCTATTCGAAATTATTTCCCGATTTGTATTTTTCTTTTTGTTCTGACAAAAACAACATTTGTGGTGCTCAATTTGTTGTAGCCCAACCAATCACTCTTCACAATTTTCTTTTAGAGATTATAATAATCGTTCTATTTTTTTTGTTGAGATTATAATATAATAATTGTTGAACCGCTGGAAGGTTTGACTTTCCTAATCATGGGAGAATGGACGGAGCAAATTCACTTGTGCATACGCTGCTTGCCTCGCCCCTCTCCCCTCCCCTGGTCTCTCATTATCTTTTCCGGGATGTGATATTTTCTTTAATGAAGGGGAGCATGTGGCATTTTTTTGACATGTAAGGTGTAGTTACCCCATGCGGGGTTAAAAACATCAGATATATATACTTGAAAAGTAACCAGCTAATAAATCACACAGAAACGGTCTATGTTGTAGAAATGAAGTGTTTGCGGGTTAAGCATCATTTACATATCTGGAGTTTCTCTTTTGTCACGATCGTATACCCCAGAGTTTTTGTGTCCTTTTTATGTACCCTGAGTTTCAATTTTTGTCCATTTTGTGTACCTCGGGCAGTCCAAGCGATGACATGGCCATCTGCCCGGGTCCACTTGACACGTGTCACAATTCTATTGGCGCTACATGGATAAAATTGTGGGTCACACCTTATTTCTCAAATATTCTAGTTTGTAAGTCCTACAAAATTCCCACATGGCACCAATGGCATTGTGCCACATGTCAAGTGGACCCAAACAGATGGCCATGTCATCATCCGGGCTGCCAGAGGTACCCAAAAGGGTCAAAAATTGAAATTCAGAGTACATAAAAAAGACAAAAAAAACTTTGGGGTATACAATCGGGACAAAAGTAAAACTCCGGGGATATAAAAGGTGTTTAACCCATTTGCCAGCATAAGCATCTTATACTTTAAAGGTTAAATGACATAGTTTGTCCCTTCACTTTGCTAATTTCAATGTTTATATCCTTTTTCTTTTAATTTGAAAAATTTTGTCCTCCAACTTGATGAAAGCTAAATATTATTGTCCAAATTACCTCTTATTTCCGGTAACTGAAGCGCCCCGACCCGTATTTACCGTAACACAGTAAACACGTGCCGAAACTATTCATAGTGATAGAACAGACAGTACAACGTGCAAATATTATACAACAGCAACTAACAATACAACTGTCACCCACACTCGGGGACCATTATTCAAACCCAACACAGTGCTCTCAGCAGCAGCAGATAGTATCAGTAATATACATATCACAGGAAATCAGCAATACAGCAATACAACAATAGAATAGCAGCGGAAGACTTATGCACATGCATCGGTGGTATGGATCCGGAGTCAGGTGGAGTAGAAGAACAGCAGCCATCGAACGTCGTTCCTGAACTACGGAAACAGCTTACCCTACGGGATGAAACCCCGCAGGCGAGGGGTGAGTCCGAAGTGCTCACCGACCAAGGATAAACAGTGATATGCAAGCAACCGTAATACTTAAAAGCAAACACAGATAAGCAACAACATATCAACAACTGAATCAAGGCCAAAAGAATGCTTAATTATTATTACCAATTTTATCTTCCGGGCCCCCGTCACTGGACAAGCTAGGGTCGTACCTGGTAATCAATTAATTCCGGATGCTAGGTCAACAACCAATCCTCATATCAAAACAACCGGATATTCGGCATATCCGAGCCACAGCGGATATTCGGCATATCCGAGCCACCGCGGATATTCGGCATATCCGAGCCACTGGGTATTCGGTATACCCCAACCTCAGGCGACGTCATGCCAACCAGATATTCGGCATATCTGAGCCTCTGCGGATATTCGGCATATCCGAGCCACCGCGGATATTTGGCATATCCGAGCCTCTGGGTATTCGGTATACCCTAACCACAGGCATGACGGGCCAACCAACCAAACCCGACCATAGCATCCCAAAATTAATTTTCATACCATCGGGTCGTACCACTACTCTCCACATGACAATTATATCAACATCTCAAATCAATTCCAATTTCAATTTCATATTCCAAATTCTTTATCTCAATTTCCACAGTCAATAGTTCAACATCAATCTCAGCATATTATCCACATAGTCAATATCACAGTTCAAAGCAACAATAATATCCACAACAGTCAACCAGCAAACATTCAACAATTCAGCAGTTCAATCGAACAACAAAGCACACAAAGTATTACAGGCAACATAACAAGGGTTATCCATCCTCACCTTAGCCGATATCAACTATGAAATTGCTCAGCAAGTTCCAAGTCCGGTTCCTCAGCAAATTGTTCGTTATCAACTCCTATATCAATCAATAATATGCACATATAAGATGGTATGCAAATGTTATTCTAATACTGTATACCGTAAATTAAATACTAACTCAGCTCGGTTACTCTCCCGGATTAATTCTCCATTATTATCATCATTCACCATTTATTTCAAGGTGTCAAAATACCCTTCTATACTTATTCCTATACCCGGGTACTATTCCGGTATTTTACTACCTTGATAATACCCTTTCCAAAATTATTCCATAAGTATGTACTTTCCAAAATATTATTTCTTCAAATTATTATTTTTCTTCCATACCATATATTAGTTCCCAAAATTATCTCCTCAAAATATTTATTTTCCATTCCATAATATATTTTCCAAACCTCATTTTTATTTTCTTCCATTTTATTTCCTTTTCTCCAGATTTATTTTCTTTTCCAGAATTTCTTTTCTTTCTCTTTTTTTTTAATTAAATCGGGCTGGGCTTTACTATATAACCCATACCCAGATTCAGCCCAAACCCAAGATCAGGCCCAGGTCCAAGCCCAGACCACAGCAGGCCCAAGCCACATCCGGCCCAGGACCCGCGCGGCCCAAAGACTCAGACCCAGGTCACGACCCGACCACGAAACGGGTCATGTCCTACGTAACCGGGTCGGATCCTCGCAAGTGGGCTGCAGCTCACCTTGGCAACGGCCGGCGACGTGACATACGGGGACAGGGAGCGAGGTAACGGCGAGGCGAGCACCAGGAGGAGGTCGGCGCGAGGTGACGGTGGAGTGGAGACGGGCGGCGTGGTCTGTTGGCGCTCGTCGGTAGTGGGGAGACGGCGGCGGTTCACCGATCTTCAGGGGGTGGTTTCGTGGCCTTCCTGCTGTGCGTGAGGAGGACGGCGACGGCCTTTCCTCGTCCAGCAGCGGTGGTAACTAAAGGATGGAGGAAGAGAGGCAAGTGGCGGTGGCTCGGGTGGTCGGCGGCGTTTGGTGGCTTACGGCCACGGAAAGAAAAGAAGAAGGAAAGGAGAAGTGAAGGTGGGATGGTGACGTGGCGTCACCTGGTTGGTTGGGTGTGTTTATTTTAGTATTATTGCTGGTATGGATTAGGTGGTTTGCAGTAGTTTGCAGGCAGGCAGGGATCGGGAAGTGTGTTTGCAGAAGGATACAGGTGATGATGGTGGTGTACTGAGTAATTGTGTTGTGCATAGAGTAGCAGAAGAGAGTTAATTTTTATAGACAATTAAATTATTGATGAATCACAGGCTGAATAGGAATTGGCGGCTGAATAATTGAACTTCAATTATGCAGTTACTATGCTGCATGTGAAGTGTGGCCCACCTGGACCAGAAAATATCCGGTATACCCGCTTGTCTTATTTCTGGTCCGATAATTCGAGAATAACCCGGCTTTTTCCGAAGATTCCCGGACCCGGAAAAATCCCAACTTGGTCCGTAAAATCCGCAGAAAAATCCCGAGCGTAGGACAAGGATCGGTTTCAAAATCCAATACTCGATTTACCATAATTTAATTACCCAAGATTAAAAATTAATGGTAAATTACTGTACATTAACTTAAACAGTCCCGGTAAAAATGAAATTTTTACCTGGGCTGTTACAGTAACCCAATTAGATAGTGACATATGTCTGATGAGTTGGCTTATTTTGAATTGTTTATTGTTTTATTTTTTTTATTTTTCAAATATTTAATTTTTAAAAAAATCATAATTAAAAATAACCTTGGATCCCAATCTTCAACACTCCACAGGCATTGCATCGAGAAATCCCTCCTTTCACCCTAAAATCAATTTCGCTTCCAGTTTAAAGCAACCCAAAAAAAATGCAAAAAAATGGCAAGCACCGCCTCTAAAGCTAACAATGTAACAGCCCGGGTAAAATTTTTGGATTTTTACCGGGACTGTTAATTTACCGTGATTTACTGTTGAATTAATCTTGAGTAATTAATTCAAGGTAAATCGGGAGTCGTTTTTCGAAACCGAGGGTTTTCCCGCGCTCGTGGTTTTCCCGCGGATTTTTCAAACCTAAGTTGGTATTTTTCGGATTTCGGAATTTTTCGGAAAATCACATCGGAAAATAACTACGGGGTATCAATTATTTTCTGGTCCGGATCGGACTCGCCCCGTAATATGGACGATTTGTATTATTGCTCACATGCTTAATAGTAAAAGGAAAAAAAATAATAATAATAAAAAAAGAAGAAAAACAGCTTAAAGCCGGTGAAGATGCAGAAGGGAGGAAGAGAAGAAAAAAAAAGAAAGGAAAAAAAAAACGCAGGAGGAGCGAAGGAGAAGAAAAATAAGAAAACAAAAGAAAAGGAAAAAAATAAAAATAGAAAGTGGAAAAATAAAGAAGAGAAGAGAGAAATA